GCCCCCAAGGCAGCTCCTTCTATACGGCTCGGTGGCAGCACGCATGGGGGAGGCAGGTCGGAGCTTTCATCACCTATACCCCTCTTATATATGCTTAAAATTAAAAAGCCCAAGTTGCCCGAGTAGACTGCTCTACGTCAGACCATCAGAAGGCCTTTTCTCAGCCTTTTCTCACCAGTTCTTGGCCGAAATTACAACCCCAAAGTGCGGGTTGTAACAAGAAGCTGTTATTGGAGATTCTGTGCAGTTTCAAACTTTAGGAGAGGCACACCAGGATGTTGAAGGTGTGGTTGAGGTCAATAACAAGTTGGCTTTGGCTATGGCTGGTGATATTTCTACATCTCAGTCATATACAGTTATTAATGGATGCCAAATATTGGAGAGTTTGAGTCCACTTCAAGCTTAGAATGGTGCATTGGTGTCCACTGATATTATGCCCGAGAAAATGAGGCCAGGTACAGGTGCAAATGTTCAAGATTATGTTGGCTTGAATACATCGGTACAGGAGGTCCCTTCTCAGACACGAGACATCTCCTCGGACAATAATGATGCTCAATCTATGCTCTCCTCAGCTGCTAATAAGCCCCATGCGTCGGGTTACAGATTGCGCAAGGTCACGAGGTTGGTACAAAGGAACAGGATAAACATTTAAACAAGGAGCAAGGAGTTGAGCAAACTTCACCTATCTGAGCATTAAGAAGAAGACGAACAGGAAGCTGACAATATTGACAATATTGCTAACCAAAGTGATGCACACCCCAAAGATAATCAGGGAGGTACTTTGGCTTCTCCAAATTCTGGCATGAAGAGAAAGTTTAATCCGAATGCACCAGCAGACAATATGGAAGTACATACGACTCAAGCTACTACAAAAGAAAAGGAAATTACTTTGGCACAGCAGAGTCAAAGTGCTTCGGCAGTAAACTGAATCACAATGCTCCTGTTCTCCAAATGGGGCTTTAATTTTGGTGATCAATTGGCATTACAACATGCCAAGGAACCTCATGGTAGTAGCACAAAATCTGGACAGTGTTTGGTGTTAACAGGCAGTGGAACAATAGCTCATGGGCAAGGTTTGATGGTAACAGGATCAAACTCAAGTGCTTCAAAATTTAAGTTGGCTAATAGAGATCTTCTTAATGTTTTAGTCTCTCATGATGTGGAAAAATTGAAGGCTCTTGATGAGCCGGTTACTACAAATACCTTAGCCATTACATCCAAGTCTATTGTTGTAGTGGAAAAGAGATAGGAACCGGGTGCGTTAGTGTCAGGACATAGTCCAACCAAAACAATTGGTGTTGATACAGATATCTATGAGGAAGGAGAAGAAGATGACATGCTGGATACTTGCTTTGCAAATGTAGCTAGGGATGGAGATCTTTCACCTCGACTACAAATGACTTGAGCAAACAAAGGCACAAAGAAGAACTCTCATAGACGTCAGCATAGTTGGGATGGAAAGGTGATTGAGGAGGTTACTATTCAGTATCTTCCAATGAGAATTGCAAAGCAAAAGGTGGCAGCTTCTACCACTTCAACAAGGTCCACTAGATCAAAGAAAAATTAATGAAATTTCAAGATATTTTGGAAAGGTTGGAGGAAAAAGACAAGAAGGGGATCCTTGGCGTAACTGGTTAAGTTGTTGCCATGTGACCAGGAGGTCACGGGTTCGAGCCGTGAAAACAACCTCTTCCAGAAATGCAGGGTAAGGCTGCGTACAATATACCCTTGTGATCCGGCCCTTTCCCGGACCCGCGCATAGTGGGAGCTTAGTGCACTGGGCTGCCCTTTTTGAAGGAAAAAGACAAGGTACATAATCAAATTGCTACTAGGCTACAAGTTTTTGAAGATGTCACAAGTTCAAAGAAGAAGGGGCTTCGCTCAATTCTCTTTCTTGTTTTATTTTATCAATTTATTAGTATCATCACATGTAATATCATCCCAGAGTGTGTAATAAACTTTGTGATGATCATAGACTACTTGGTTCTTTCTAGTTCCTACGTTTTTTACATGCTTGCTAGTAACAGAGACAGTTCATACCTCATAGAATTGTAAGGTCTAGCTCAGTAGTTGTCATTTATCCACTTTTGCCTCAGGGAATTCACCTGAGTTGGCTTTGAGGTCATCGCACCTGGTGAAAGCCAAGGCCTTTGGATACTACACTACTGGAGCTTTTGCTCCCCTAGCTTGTACTTTTCCTTTTGCAGTTTTTCGTATTAATAAGATTAGCCACTAAGCACTCTGCGTAGTGGTATATTCGCCTAAAAAACAAATCAAGGTCCTAACATGACTAAAGCTATTCCTAACTAAATGCATCAGCAAAGTTTGGAATGATCTTTTTCATTTTTTTCAGAACATATCTTTTAAAGCTGGCAATGGCGCACATATCAAGTTTTGGAAAGATAAATGGCATGGAACTCCCCCGGGTGGAAACATTCACTGGCCTCTGGGCTCTCCTGATAGAACATAGACTCAGCCATCTCCAAAAATAGAGAAGATAACTCCTGGAACCCAAAATTCAGAAGAAACCTCCAGAACTGGGAATTGAATGATCTGCTAACTCTCTTGAGTGCTCTTGAAGAATAGAACATTGATGATCAACAGGCAGATAGAAAAATATGGGACAATAATAAAGCAAGTATACAGTTAAGGATGGCTACGACCAAATCTGCTCTGAATGGTATGCTAGTAGATTGGCCATGGAAGCACATTTGTAGGACAAAATTACCATTTAAGGTGGCCAGCTTCACCTGGACAACACTTAAAGGGGCATGTCTCACCCAAGACAATCTATGCAGGAGAAACATTATACTAGTAAACAGATGTTATAAACTATCTGACTTGTGAAGCCTTTGTCATGCCTCATACTCTTAGGCTTTACTTGTTTGCACTTGAGGGAGGTCTGGACCTCAATGGTTCATACCTTACACCATTAAGTGCATTTATTTTTATTAAAATTTAGTCACTTAATGGGTTTGAACAGATATTTCATTAAAACTTTGAACAAAGTCTCAATATCATTAAGAGATATTTCATTAAAACTTTGAACAAAGTCTTAATATCATTAAGAGGTTATTCAAAATGTTTTGTGAATATGACTTTTCGCCACCACTCTGTCCACAATAATCACCACCACTACAGCCAACTACTAGCACCACCAACCACTACATCAGTTACTACCACGCCAACCACCTCTACCCCACTATAACTATAACCACTGCCAACCACCATTACTACCGTCGTTGGTGCCATTTCGTCACCACTATTGGCCACGAGCACCACCATCACTACTACCACCGCCCCCAACCACTACTACCAGCCACCTCTATCATCACAATCGCCACCGATGCCAATCACCAAACATTCCACCACCGCCACTACTAACATCAACCAACTCCACCATCACAACCACCAACACCATAGCGCCAATCACTACCACACCAACCACCCCTATCATCACCAACTATCACCACCACCACCAAACACAACTACCAACAATCCCCGCATCATTGCCAAACATAACATTCATTTATAACTTCAAAAGTTTTTATTTTCTTATCAAATAATGATTTTATTTATTATTTACATTTTTCTAATATTTTATTATATTATTCTAATTATTCTTATATTTAATTTACTTTTTATCTGAATTGTATATTATTATGTTTAAATATTAATAAATTATACACATTCAGATATTAAAAAATAATAATTTTAAACATAATAGAAAGCAACACTTAAATTGGAATGGATGGAATATATCGTTCTAGTTGGGTTAACCTCATCCCTATAAATAATGCTAATTTTTGTTTTGGATTTTGTTAGCTCCCTGATCCTAGCATATTCTCATGTATTGGAGCTAACTCTCTCTCTTTCTTTTGTAACTATTGCATCTTCTTAATCCTGTTAATTAATTCTTCCTACTTCATAAACAAACGAAAAATTTAACCATTCAAAAGTTGATGGATAAATTAGAAAGAGACACTCTTCGGAACAGACTAAAAATAAAAGTGAGACACTTAAATTGGAATGGATGGAGTATATCTTTTTAGTTGAGTTTACCTCACCCCTATAAATAATGCTAATCTTTGTTTTGGGTTTTGTTAGCTCCTTGATCTTAGCATATTCTCATGTATTGGTGCTAACTCTCTCCTACTTTTATAACTATTGCATCTTCTCAATCCATTTAATGAAATCGTCTTACTTCATACAATAAAAATAAAAATTAACTTTTCAAAAGTTTAGGGATACATTTGGACATTTTATCCCGAAGAATTGGACATCTGGAGTCCACCTATTTCACACCAGAGCTCCGTTAGTGACAAGGGAAAGCATGAGACGATGTGCTAACAGCAATGGTATCAACGGATCAAAAGCTTAACGAGAACAAAAAATAAGCAATTTCGAATAGTGCAAGGGCAAATTTGAGCAATCAAGATAAATTGCTTCTACATGACTCATACTCCTAGGTTTCTTCCTCATAAGATTATATCATTTTTGTGTCAATATTGCACGAAGAATCTTGCTATCTCTAAGCTCTGTACGCTTACACGTACAACCAAAACGTGAACTATCGCTGTAAAATGATGTTTGCACTCGTACAAAAAAAGGGAAAAAATTAAGTCTTGCATATACTACCACCATATGTTTATAGACGGTATACCTCAAGGCAGTGCTGCTGAAGAAAAGAGCCAAGCCAATAATACCAAAGTAGTTTCTGTCAAATCCACACAAAAGCTGATAACGTATGTTTGTGTAAAGGCCAAGAAAGGCACCATAACCAAGTGCATAATTGATCACACATGGGGTAGTCACCGACAACCTAGCAAAATAGTAGTAGTAAAAAATGAGTCTACCGTGAACATAAGGTGTCATCAATTGTATTTTAGCTTTATAAAAATAACTAAATGGAAATTAAATTACACGAGGAAATAACAAAATGGTTTGTTATTTTGGGGTAAATCTGAAATAGTCCCAAAAATATACCCCTAAACAATTTTGGTCCCTTCAAGTTTGCCAAAAGTAAGCATTTTTTGTATCCATATTTAACATAAGTTTGTCAAAAGTGAGCATTTTTGGTATCCATCAATTATTTCACATACTTTGATCGTTAGTGTTGAGTTGTCCCGCATCGGAAGGATTTTTGAGGTCCTTGGTCTCCTTATATGGTCTTGGACAATGCTCACCTCATAAGCTAGCTCTTAGGATTGAGTTAGGCCCAAGATCCATTTATCATGGTATCGGAGCCAGGCTCATCCCAATTATTGTTAGTTTGTTACCAATGTTGGACCCCCATTTATGTTGTCCATACTCCAGTTTGTAGGCCTGGGTGTGAGGGAGGGTGTTGAGTTGTCCCACATCGGAGGGCTTTGAGGTCCTTGGTCTCCTTATATGGTCTTGGGCAATCCTCACCACATAAGCTAATTTTTCGAGTTGAGTTAGGCCCAAGGTCCATTTATAGAAGTGTTAAAATCAAATTTAACGGGAACCCATATTAGAAGGTATATTTTTTTTAGTTTCTACTATTTTGATCTATTTATGTTGTCGGGTGTAGTTTTGAGGTGCAATATTTAATATTTTTGGTCTATTCCCGGTGTTTGCAATTTGTAGTGTTGCAATTGATTATCTTTGACGGACTTTCCTAGTGTTTCTGGCTAATAATTTTTCTTTTGAAGTTCTTGTTAAACCTAACCGTCAGAGTAAGTTAAATATTTGACAACCATAAAAAATGCTATTTTTTGGCAAACTTAAGGAACCAAAACTGCTCAGGAGTAGGAGTATATTTCAAGGACTATTTTAGACCTTAAACTTAACCATAAGGGACCATTTCTATCATTTTTCTAAATTTCTACCTTCCCTCCTTTTTAGCGGCAAGAAGTTTCCATAGAGACCCTTGGACAGCTCCTACAGTGAGTCCAACCATACACAGTTCCACAGCCTTATAGAAAAAAGAATGAATTCTCTTCTGCAAGTCAAATTTTCTTAGTAGATAACTCTTCTCGAAGATATTGTTTGGAAGAATTTGTAACCTATTTCGCCAATCAAAGTAGAATTTGTTTCCAAATGAGTAACAAGGAGCAAGCGACCAAACGACAATAGCATTGCAAGCCATTACAGTAAGCACGTTAAGAAGGGCAAGATCCCACTCCTGCTTGATCCTAGATCAAAATAAAAAGTAAACATGTAAGTTTGTTTAATATACTGCATGAGCAATTTAATGAACTTTATTTCCTTGAACTGAATAAAATATACCTTTCCTTACGGTTTTTGATCTCCCATGAAACTGAGCAACCAATTGTAACGGCCTGCTCTAGAAGCAGCTTGTACAAAAATGTTGGATCTGCAACCATCCTGTGTCAAAAATTCATAGAAAATCAGGCAACTAGAAGCATCATTCACAATCAGCACAAAAACTTTGAATGGTCAAGATATATTGATACAACAATAATCAAGGACAAGAAAATTATATTGCACAATTGTACACCGGTTTCGGGTTTCACAATTATCAGAGGATTGCATAATTATGTTACCAAAAAATAAAATTAGAGCACTGATCATATTCTGATTGCCATTAATGATTGGTTGCTCTTCTGGAGAATCATAAAAATTTCCAGAAATTCTTTACCTTGTGTATACTCCTTTTATAAGGGATTTTCCGTTTTGTCAATAAAACCATTTAACTTATCAGGAACAAAAAGGGTTCAGGTTCACAAGCTTATATAAGAGAATTAAGAGAAAGTTCAATAGCTCCCTTTAGCCGATGATTTCTTCATCAACAAAGAGAATTAAGAGAAAAGTACGACAATGCAGGCTACAGAGATAAAAAGCATGTCTAGTAGAAAGGCTTCTGCCCGGCACTTTTTCCCTCGCCAAGTGTTTTGAGTATTGCAGTAGTGTTGTACTTACCTGCGAATATATGCCCTTGATAATACTTTAAGAAATGACCCGGAAATAAATATATGCATATATCTCCCGTCACCGTCATCAAAGTCATCAAAGTAATCATCGTCTCCAGCACCACCCTCACTGCCTCCACCACCACCACCAAGATTGACATTATTTCCCATATTTCCACCTCCTCCATCAGTCGAAAGCTGTGATTTTGCACAACATTAGCCAGTTCTCTTAATACCCAAGAGTTGCCAGATTGTACCAGTAGGTCTACCATGAAAGCTCAAGTTCAGGTAAAACACAGAGCGCGAGATTCTTAAACATAGATGGAATTATCTGTCATTATGAAAAGCAAGCACATGCCGAAATTTCACACCATCTAGGCTAATCGAGGCAAATCAACTTTTTTTTTCTCCACTCGCCTTTCCCATTTCATTGAGAAAGAGAGAACCAAAATAGCAAAGAAAGCACATAAGACACATCTAGGATCCAGTAATCAACGTCAGAATTCAGATTAAACAATTTTGACACAAATGGTCACTTATATCCGATCAATCTTCATTTTTTGCCCATAAAGAAATGGCAAGTCGAGAATACAACAACAGTTTCAGTTCCATTCGCAGAAGCCATCTATACATTACAATGGTCACTTGTATCTTTTTAACCCTTAGTGTCGTATTTCTATCTTAACTACATCCACCATGAAAATTTAATTCAATTTTAAAAATTAAGGTATAAAAAATAATTAGCATACAACAACACAACAGAAGTAAGTCAAGCTAGCTAGTTGGAGTCAGCATATGAATCCATTTATTGGGCATGTAATTATCACAACAATATGCAGAAGACTTACAATTACAACATAGCAGAAAAATGGTAGTTCAATCAATCAAATTAAGACACAAATATTTGTTATCTTTAGTGAAGATCATTAATTGAAATTACATCACATGTTTAAAACCACACGTTAAAGGAGTATTTTCGGTAATAAAGCACAAACCTGGGGCTCAGGGCTAGAATTCGTCTGTGTCTGGGTCAAACCAAGTTTCGATATTTCTAACGTATCTGCACCAAGAGCGCCGTACTTTTCCCCTTTCATTACCGGAGCGTACATCACAGAAGACCGAGAATCAATTGACGCCTTGATAACGTTAGTTTTTGACGGAAAAACTCGCCCAACGGCCGGCAATAAATGTTGTGACGCCCTAGTTTTTAACGGAAAAGCTCGCCATAAAAGTTGTGACGCCTTAGTTTTAAACGGAAAAGCTCGCCGTACGGCCGGCAGTGGCAATAAAGGTTTGGAGGAGGTACGGATATCCATAGGCATGATTTGAAACACAGAGTGAGACATTTTTTTTGCTGTTGTGATCAAATTCAAACCTAAGGGGTGTTTGTTTTTGCAGCAATCAGTTTTCAGAAAGAAGGAACTTGGTTGGTAAAAACTTGGTGGCTGAAGCGATTTGGCTCCTAGTGGGACTTTGATTTGATGCCGTGTCCAAACTCAATGTGATGACCTGTAATACAATTGAACAAATATTTGAAGGCTCAACCGTCATTTATGTTTATATATATATATATATATNATGTAAACGGTTCGGTTCGGCCAGTTATTTTATAAAATTTGTACCATACTAATTTTTCGATTATTCTATTATGTATAATCAAAATTAGATTTTTAGAAATCGTACTAATCATGTCAATTTTTCTTCGGTACGGTTCGGTTAATTTTCGATATTTTTTAAATATCACATAAAAATCACTAGTAGAACCAGAATGCAACAACATACATATTTTTATAGGAGTTAACAAAACTCTCAAGACATTTTTACTATTTAAAGAGTAATGAATTAAGAAGACCTGAAAGATAACTAGAGTATAGATCCATCAACTATTCTACAGAAACGTAAAAGAAACTAAGCAAAGACAAAGAAAATATAAATCACACGAGTGGAAAGATATTAAGTAAGTTGGAACTCAAGAATAAAGTCTATAGAAGATTAAATATTCGAAAATATATATTTTAATCATATGAAAGAAAAAATATTCAATACATTGTACTAGTTTGCTACTCGTAATCATTAGAATACCTTGTGTCTTACTAGTGAATATGCCTGAAATAATTTAGTTTCAATAGTAGTATAATAGGTTTGAAATTAGGATTTTGAGTTTAATTACTTGTTAGCTTGTAACCGTTTTCATAATATCTAGGCCCCAAAAAAAATTAATGTTTTATTATTTTTAAACTTAATATATAAATATATTTTTTCATGTAAATTTATTCAGTACGATTCGATATTTTTTCTTTTTATTTTCATAAAATAAAAAACCTACCCTAATTATCGGTACAGTTATAGATTTATTAGAAAACTACGATTTTATTAAAGAAACCTAAAAATCGATTCGGTTGTAATACGATTCTGTAAAATAATATTATTACTATTAAAACAAAAATTTAAATAAATAATTATAGTTGAACCAATAACATGCTATAAGTTTATGTGAATTATCAATCTATTGTGATTAACATTCTTGTTTGAAATAGACAAATACTATTTATTTTTTGTTTACCCTTAAAATGGTACAGTTGAATTTATAATATGGTTTATAGACAAGCGAAACAATTTGATCCCAAAATGATAAATAAATTAAATAAAAATATAAGACTTAGCATTGAAATCGAGATAAGACAACAAGCAGCTTGATTCCAGGAGCAAGGCTTCCGAAGACAACAATAAGAATATTGATAGATATGAAATAAAGTATTATTGAGCTTAGAATAATGTGTAGCATAATTTTGTTAGAGTTTTCGTCTCTTACGATGGTTGTTGAAGTCATTATTTATAGCTACACCTAGGGAACAAGTCCCTAGGATCAAGTCCCTCTTAAATGATAATTAGCAATATTCCTTTCGGGGTCTGCCCGGTGCCAACCGAAGCTGCTGTCCCCGGTCTTGGTTTCCACTTGCTTCGTTTTTCGTCTGTCTCCAGTTCCACTTGTCGCTCTATTATTAGAGTATTTAATGTGAACCGACTTTACCCTATACATTTTTATTTTTCTTGCACTAACAAATTATTATTATTTTAGTTAGTTATATTTAAGTAATTCTACTTAGTGAAAGGTAGAACTATTATCAAGTATATGACCGAATAATCCAAAAAATCTTTTAAAAGATCACAATGTACATTAGACGCAATATTAAATCTTTACGAAAACGATAATAATTTTTAGAATAAAAATTTGTTTCAAACAAATACCATACTTTAAAAGTTCGTCCCAAGAAAAATAATAAACTTTGTCTATAAATAATTAACTTAAGTCAAATAATATAATTTGTGAATGTGACAGCAGTGGCTAAACAAGCAAAATAAAAGCTCATATATGTTGTTAATGTCTTCATAAAAATAAATGTATGAAAACAAATTCGAATTAGGTTTTCCTTTTAGTGAATTTGAATTGCTCCCCCTAACTTTCAGCCAGTTAGCTAGCTACTCTCCTCAGCAGTTGGCTCTTGTTTCTTTCTCCCCCTTTGTCACCTCAAGAGAACATGGGCAGAGAGTATACATAAAAAGACAAGCATGTATGGGTCAAAAATTACCTTTGATATAATCAAAGCATGTTAATATTGAGGAGGCACTCGCGGACTGCCACGTATCGCCAGTTCGACTTCGATAAAGATATGCCCAAGGTCGAAGTGATCCCTTAAAAGATGAAGGATGCGGTCGAAGAGTCAGTGAAGCCCAAGGTCGAGAAGTCATCATAGATCAAGGTCAAGGTCGAGCATCTTAGACAGATTTATAACGGCTAGTTTTAGGACAAGACACAAAGGAGGATATTCTAATAGATGTTCTCTGTACCTGTACTATTAGAGTTTTTAGGTATGTGTTCCCTATAAATAGAAAGAGACGCAATGATAAAGGACATAAGATATTCACTTGTAAGAAAACACATTGGCTTTATAGAGAGAATCTGGCCTTATTGCAAGCACACGAGAAATACCTTTTCACTAAGATTCTTGCATAATTTTTCCACTGGATCCAAGAACTATTTGAACATTCGAAGGCTCATCAATTATTCATCATTGTTAGAAGGAATATCTACAAATCTCACCCCTTTTTGGGTGACTCGCACATTCTTATTTATATAAATGTCATTTATTGCTATTTATTATTACTTAATGATATCTTCTACCTCTAGGGTCATTGAATATTGTTAGTGTTGTCCACATTTACTGCTATTAGGTCAAGTATACACATTATCTACTACAAAATCGGTTATTTTATCTTTTGGATATTGATATTGGCTAAGATTGATTCTACTTTATTTAAATCTAATTGCTTGAATCTGGATTTAAATTTTGGGTCAAACAGTTTGGCGTCGTCTGTAGATATTTCTTAGCTAATCTTTTAGTTTCCTTTGGATCTACAACTCACGTGAGTTGTTAACCTAACAAACCACAAGGGTTTTCTATTTTCTCTGCACGTACGGAAGTATACATGGCAGGTAACCAAGAAGATAGAACTAAAGTGACAGGTGACATCACGACACCCTCATGAACGCTATTAATGAGAGCTATGAAATGCTAGGCAATGATGTGACACCCATTGCCTCCCCCAAGCGCGAGAGATCGCCTCCCCCCATTGTAGCACGACAAAACCAAATGGAAAATGGGCCCCCACGTCCACAGGAGAAGGAACGCCACCGACTATGAAAAGGCTTCCTGAAGCGTGGTTGACTGATACATTAGTAAGTGTGCTCAACAAACAAGTTCAATGCACCACCATAGCGACTGCATGAGCCCACACGTCCAACGAGTAGACGATCAAGGCGACCAACCAGACCCTCCAATGCCAGGTATACCTCACAATGTTATTAATAGTGCAGGTGACGACGTCCTCACTGTTGTTCTGAAGAGAATAGAAGAAATGGAAAATGAGAACAAAGCTTTAAGAGACCAAATGAAATAACACTAAGAACGGGTCAACAAGATACTGGGTGCCCCCAAGCTACTACCAAAGAGGATGCCGACAGGTTCGTAGAGCAACCCCACACTCCATACCAAAGACCTTCAAAATACCGCTGTATCTCAGGATATACGACGGAACAACCGACCTCGAGGATAACGTGACTCATTACGTCACTGCCGTGAAGGGCAACGATCTCACCAAGGAACATGTGTCCTCTATTTTGCTGAAGAAATTTGGCGAAACCCTCACTGGAGGGGCGTTACCATGGTATTCACAACTACCAACCCGCTCCACAGAAATATTCGATGAAAGCCGACAAGTTCGTAACGTCACACGCCGAGGCCAAGAAGGCCGAAATAAGAGTGAACAATATCTCCGAATTTAGGAAAACCCTAGGAGAGAGACTGAGGGACTTCCTCACCCGATTAAATAGGATAAGGATAACCTTACAAAATATGTCCGAAGGGATGGCAATCGCGGCCTTTTAGAACGGGTTGAGTAGAGAGGGTTCAAGAGTGACCAGAAAGTTGTTGAGCCGACACATGAAGTACCGACCACTTGGGACGAAATACATAATGCTCATTGCGCTGAAGTCCGAGTAGACGATGACGACCTCAACGGACCAACTCGACGGCTCATCTCAGTACAAGGCGAGCCCAGGAGAGAACGAAGAGATAACATAAGGAGGGATCACCCAGTCTCACAGCCAAATAGGGAATGACATCATTCATACGTCAGGACCCCCGCCCTTTCTTCCCTCCGGTATGATGATGACCCATCTAGGCAAAAACACGGACTTATAGGAATGAGAGAGGTATGCCCCCTTGTTGTCTACTCATAATTTTTGTGTGTCACATACAGAAATAGTCTATGCCTTGGAGAAACTTGGAACGAAGGTGAAGTAGCCGCCAAATATGAGGTCCGACCCAAGCACCAGAAAGTCAGATGCCCTTTGCAAATTCCACCAGGAACACGGACACAAGATAGAAGATTGCATCACCCTAAGGCAAAACGTTGTGAACATACTGCATCAAGGACACCTCAAAGAGTTGTTGAGTGACAGGGGGAGGAACAACTTCGCCAGAGGTCGTGAGCGCCAAGGTCCGCCGAAGCTGCCATCACCAGTTCGTACCATCAATATGATTATCGATGGCAACGATGATGCCTCCATCAACGGCATTAAGTTAAGCTCTACTCACAATCTCAAAAGATCCATCACCTACGAACAATATGATGGACTCGAAGAAAGTATCATTTTCGACGAGTCAGATGTCGACGGTTTGACTTTCCCTCACAATGATGCTCTCATCATTACTTTATGAATTTTAGATACTAATGTCAAACGTATCATGGTAGATGATGGGAGAGGAGTGTGCATTATCCATACCCGAGTCCTCAACCAGATGAGACTCGAGGACAAGATAGTGCCACGCTGCATCACACTAATCGATTTTAATAATGTAGTTGAACGGACATCAGATGAAATCACACTCTCTGTCTTGGCCGATGGCATAACTTTGGAGACAATGTTCCACATCATGGACCATGCCACCACCTACAATGCCATAGTAGGACGACCATGGATACATTCCATAAGAGTCGTCCCCTCCAACCTATACCAAGTACTCAAGTTCCCAACACCTTGGGGAATATTCAACATACAGGGAGAAAATCGCACATCCTGAGAATGTTATTGTATCGCCTTGGATAGCACGACAACCCAACAAAAGAAAGACAAGGAAAAAGAGGCATAACAATCAACATAGTTGAGGTCGATGCCAGAAGAGAACAGAGACGTCATCATGGACCCTGAAATGGTCGAAGCCGCGGACTCAACTATAGAGGACCTTGATCCCGTTCAATTAGATTCCAACAACCCTAGCAAAAAGCCTACATCGGCTGTAAACTCTGAGAACCAGGTACATTTAGCCAATTTTTAATAACTAACGCCGATTTATTTGCCTTCAGCCATGCAGATATGTCGAGCATCCCCAAGCAGATCACCACACACAAACTGAACGTCAATCCATTCTATCCCTCGGTAAGGCAGGTCAAACAGAAATTCAACCCCACCATCAATGATACCATCCACGAGGAGGTGGATAAGCTATTGGAAAATGGATCCATCCGAGAGTCGAAATACCAAAAGTGGATCGCGAACATAGTGATGGTCAAAAAGAAAAATGGGATATGGAGGATGTGTGTAGACTTCACAGACTTAAATAAAGCATGCCCGAAGAATTCATTTAGTTTTCCAGTCCCTTGTCATTTTTCTTGGACTCTTGTCCGTTATGGGATGGCCCCTTGCCATGCACTTGTGTACCTTGACTATGTCTTTCATGTTGTCCTTGTCATGATCTCCCCCACCCCAATCGGCGCCTTTTTTGGACTTGACAGGCTCCATCTTGAAGTCAATGAGTGACTCGGCTACCGCTATGGCCTCGTCCATGCTGGCTATTTGATGTCTTCTTAACGTTTGCTTTGCCCAATTTTTCAACCCATCCATGAAGTAGAAGAGGGAATCTTTCTCGGACAATGACATGATTTGTAGCAATAAGGTAGTGAACTCGCGCACATACTCCTGAATTGTGGTTGTATGTCGGAGCTCCCTTAGTTTCCGCCTAGCCTCGTACACCACATTCATCGGCTATAATTTCTTCTTAGTTTCCGCCTAGCCTCGTACACCACATTCATCGGCTATAATTTCTTTTTCAACTACTTGAACTTCTCCTACGTGTCAATCTTGCATATCCCCTTCTCCATGTCAGTACACTTTCGACGCCACCATAACGTTGGAACCTCGGTCAAGTACATTGAGGCGTTGCGTACCTTAACAACTTCCTCATCCTCCTTGACTACCTCAAAGTACTTGTTCATCCTCCAAAGTAAGTCTGCCACCTCACGTGCATCCCGTGCACCGCCATACTGCTTTCTATTAGGACCTTCACATTGGTCCCTTTTGCAAGTACCACGCCTTTGGTAATTCTGACCACGGTTCCCCACAAAGCTTCCTTCTAGCAATCTCTTGTATTCTTTCTAACATTCATTTAGTCATAACCTTTGCTTTGATACCACGTTATCACGTCCTTAGTCTTTAACTAAGTACACGTGCGGCACTTGACAACCCACTCACGATTTTACATAACTTGCTCACGTTATTGCTATGCCAAGTCAGCCTTACTACATTAAAGATCGCTAAGGGAATGTTAGAACACAAGAGAATTGCCAGATGAAGATTTTGTATCAGAGAGAAATTGATTGTTTTGCTTTATGAATTATAAATGAATTTCCCCCTTTATATACTAGTCTCCTAGGGGCTAGTATGTAAATATTAATTATTACACAAGTCCTTAATATTTACAAGTAAGACCCCTCTCTAGAATTCTGTACATAGCTAGAATCTTCCAAGGACTTTCCTACCAAATCCATAGGGCTCGAGGGTCTTCCTAGGGAGACCTCTATATTTCTCCAGAACTTTCCTACAAGTTCTTGCCTCTTTCCTATATAAGCTTTAGTCACGACCCAAAATTCTACCACATATGTCATGATGGCACTTAGTCTCTAAGACAAAGTAATCCGATTATAATTACAATTCAAGCCATTTTTTTTTAATTCAATACAAGTGCCAGAAACAAACAACGGAAATAATTACAAACAATATCCCAAGACTGGTAATACTAAGTCACGAACTCTAACTGAATATATGAAATGATCTCAAGGATCGAATACTCAATACTGTTTGAATAATGATTTAACAGTACGATAAAACGGAAAGACTCCAAGGGACTGCAGCGACCAAATAGCTCTACCTCGAATCCTTGCGATCCCACTCTAACTCTATCCGAGTCCGATATCTCCAATACTTGGCTCTGCACAAAAATGTACAGAAGTGTAGTATGAGCACACCACAGTCGGTACCCAGTAAGTATCAAGACTAACCTCGGTGGAGTAGTGACGATGTACAGTCAAGACACTTACTAGTCTAATAATTTGTGCAATACAATTTACAAAAATAAAAGAAAACAAATAGTAGTGATAGCAACAATAATCAACTAGTGATATAAACAACAAGGCAACAAGAACTCCATAAATATTGCTCAAACAGGTAATGAATACAAGTATAACCAATAATCAAGTCCTTCAAAATATACATCTTTCATCTATAAGTTTTTCAATAGAAATCTATAGAATATAATCCTTTCCAATAAATATATTTCGAACATACTTCTTTCAATTAAATATCCTTCAAATATAATTCTTTCAAATAATTATCTTTCGAATATAATTCTTTCAAATAATATCCTTCAAATAAAAGTCACCTTGTGACACCTCATCTCATAATCATAAAATACGTGTCTCAGCCCACTTTCATATTTCCACGGCTCCTCGTGTCAATATCTCTATCACAATCGCACAAACAACTCACGTGTCAATATCATCATCATATTTTCCCCGCCACCCTGTGCCTACATTTTATATCTGTTGCGGCGTACAACCCGATCCCATATAACATTAATCATACATGTTGTGGCGTGTAACCCGATCCCATATAACATTAATCATACATATTGTGGCGTGCAACCCGATCCTATATAACATTAATCATACATGTTGTGGCATGCAACCCGATCCCATATAACATAATCCGCATGGCAATAGCCACATGCTCTCAATTTCAACATAGATCAGACTATTATCAAGTTTTGCCGAAACAACAAGACAAGTTGCACAATATATAAAAATAAATACAAGAAAAATTACAACATCCCATGAAAATTACCAACGCAAGAACCCTACATCATCACATAAAAATTACCAACATCATAACTCCATATCAGTCACTCTTATCTCTCCTATAGCCACCCTTATCACTCCTATAATAGCCTCACTTATCCCTTCACCCTGACAATATCAATAACCACCCTTATCTCTCCTATAATAGCCTCCCTTATCACTCTGCCGAGATAATATCCCAACACACATAACTACAGTGAAATACCACCCTTATACCCACATAATATCAACAGTGAAATGCCACCTTTATATCATCATAATAATAAGTCAAATCACACAACAATTTACACGGAATATTATCACGACAACAAAAGACAATCAATTCATATCACAATTTGCCCAATGACCACAACCAATTTCAATGATATAGTAAAATCAATAAATTTCTCAAAAATAGCCCAAGGCTCCACACAAACATATATAAAATCTCAAAACAACAACAAAGATGAAAAAGTAACTCTGCATAGGACAACGCCTTCTTTAATCCAGATTTTAATAAATATAAATTAATGCCTCATTTTAAACTTATTTAATAATTATTTGCAGATAAGGATTCAATAATGAATTTAATTCCAAGAAAAAAAATATCAAATCAACAAGCACACATAATTGACATAAAAATTCAAGTGGCAATAATACCAAATTATCATATAAAATACAATTTCGACAAACAAGGAACGAGGCATGACAATTCAAGGCTTTACTAAGTTCCAACAATTTTTCAATTTAATACATAAGAGTGTCTACGAATTTTAACCGATATAATTTGCACAAATAAACCAAGTACGTACTCGTCACCTTGCGTACACGGCTTTCAATCACACAATTTCCACATAAGACTCAATGCCTAAGGGGTAATTCCTCCACTCAAGGTTAGGTAAGATACTTACCTTTTTTAAGTTAGGCCGATATTCCAAAATAGCCTTCCTGCTTGAATTGACCTCCGGACAGTTCAAATCTATCCAAATTAATTCAATCCAGTCAATACTAATTATAGGAATTAATTCCATATGAAAATACTAATTTTCCAACAAAATCTTAAATTTAACTCAAAAATCGCCCGTGGAGCCCACGTCTCAGAATTCGACGAAACTCATACAATTCGACAACCCATTCAATTACGAGTCCACCCATACCAATTTTATCAAATTTCGATAACAACTCGACCTCCAAATCTAAAATTTTCGTTCTTCAAAAGTTTTGCAAAAATCTTGATTTTTTCTATTTAAATCCGAAATAACTGATAAATATAACCATGGATTTATGAAATATAATCACTTTTGGATATAGGATACTTACCCAAGTCGAAGTCGTGAAGAAATCCTCAAAATCGCCCAAGAACCGTGCTCCAAAAATTCAAAAACGAAATAAAGGAAATGACCATTTTTGGTCCTTAAGTTTCTGCCTATCCGTTACTAAAAGTCCATTTTCCGTCACTAAAAGTCCATTTTTCGTCACTAAAAGTCCACACCAGAACTTGCATGCACCAGCAGTTATTATTTTTTACTAAAAAGGCTCCAACTCCATC